ATCCTCCACAAAACTCCTTTGGCCCAGGAATCCTCCACAAACTCCTTGGGCCCAGGAATCCTCCACAAAAAAAGACACCCCCAGCTCCCACCCCCCCTCCACGGGCACAGCGATGGGACGAGGGTGGCCAAGCACATGCATTTCAAACAGAAGCATGAAAAAAATCAGAAATACTGACCTTAAAGCTCCAGTAGTTGGGTTGCTAACAACAATAAAAAAATACAAAAAAAAAAAAATAAAACAACAAAACGAAAGAAAACACACACACACAAAAAAAATACCATTAAGATTCTGCTTTGACTTTCATTTTTCCCTTTGAGAATCGCTGTTTTAAACAGGTTAAAAAAACCTGCTCTGGTTTCTGTCCCTCCCGAGGGGTTCATGCTAAGGGGGGAGCAGGATCATGCAGGCAGGGAGGGAAGGGTGGTGGGTTTTTGGGGGTCAAGGCAGGTTGGGGTGCAGAGCAACCCCGGCAGAGCAAAGCGGGGAGTGGGACCACAGCCCAGCCACTGCTGTGCCCACACCACCATCCTGGCACGTGCTGGTCGGGCTGCTGCGGTGCTGGAAGTCAGAATAATGTTCATTTCGAAAGGGATCTTCCAATCCTTCCCCCCTCCCCTTGCCTTTGCCCCCCCTGCTCCCTCCCCCTGTGGTGTTTTTGCCGGTGTCAGAGCGATGAGCTGCCGCCGGTGACAGGAGCTGGCACCGCTCACAGCCCCGGCGAGCTGGAGAGCTGGCACAGCCCCCCTCCCCACAGCCACCCACTGGGCATCACCAGTGGGACTCACTGGGGATGCTCAGCTCGCTGTGACACCCACAGAGACTCAGGACACCCTCCCAAGATGGCACAGCCGGGCCGGGCTTTTAGGAGCCCAGCAAGGCACAGAATCGTGGGGTGGGTTGGGTTGGGAGGGATTTTAAAGCTCACCCAGTCCCACCCCTCTGCCGTGGGCAGGGACACCTTCCCCTAGCCCAGGTTGCTCCAAGCCCTGTCCCATCTCCAGCAGGAGGGAAAGGGGGATCCAGTGACCAGGGGTGGGATTCACCTCACTGGGAAGGGGACGTGCAGCTGAGGGGTGGGGTGGGAGAAACAGGTACAGGGCAGCTTTGGTCCCAACAGTCTTTCATTGGGATCCAAGTTCTTGCCTGCTCTGTCCTCCCCTCTCACCCCCACCCTCGACTCTAGACAGCATTGATCTCTCCACCACAACCACTGTGCCTGCAAAGCTGCTCCTTAGAGGGTGATTTCTCTAATTGCTATTTTAAATCTAAACCAGGCTCCTGCACCAAGCTCCCAGTCCCCACCAGTCCCCACCAGTCCCTGCAATGTGCTGCCAAGGAGTCTCCCACCACAATGCTCAGGGAGAACTGCAATGACATCAGACCATCACAGGGTATTTATCCAAGGACTTTCCCAATCCACTGGCAGATTTGCTGCCTCCTTCCCTTCACTTTGCTGCTGATTTTCCCCCTTCTGCTGACAAGGTAAGCAGAGGCCCAGTCCATGTGTATAAACACAAATTCACTTGTTAGGCTCATCCCAAACCTCAGCAGGACGCTCTTATTCCAATTCAAGGCCCTGCTCACATTAATATTCCGCACAACACCAGTGGTCCCAACCCAAGTTCAGCCTCCACCAAACCAAAACTGTTCTAAAAAGTGCTCTGAGCCCAACGAGAGCAGCGTTCTCAGGCAGACAAGCCTCGAGGCACAAAGGTCTTTTCCAAGGGCACACCGTGACTCAGAGGCAGGACCAGGAATAGAACTTCCGAGCCCTGATTACCAGGCACTATTAGATAACAGCCAGCAGCATCCCAGCCCATCCAAGCTTTTCCAAAACACTCCCTGGAAAGCGAGAAACCGCCTCAGAGTGGCTTTGGGGACTGACAAAGCCACCCATTGCATGGAGTCACTAAGACCAGCAGCTCCATGGCCTCAGATCCAGGGGGAGGGTGTTGGGAACAGGGAAAGGGGTGTTTGGTGAAGGGAAAGGGGTGCTGGGTATGGGGAAAGGGGTGTTGAGTGAAGGGAAAGGGGTGCTGGCTGAAGGGAAAGGGGTGCTGGGTGAAGTGAAAGGGGTGCTGGTGCAGGAAAAGGGGTGCTGGGTACAGGGAAAGGGGTGCTGGGTGAAGTGAAAGGGGTGCTGGTGCAGGAAAAGGGGTGCTGGGTAAAGGGAAAGGGGTGCTGGGTAAAGGGAAAGGGGTGCTGGGTACAGGGAAAGGGGTGTTTAGTGAAGGGAAAGGGGTGCTGGGTGCAGGGAAAGGTGCTGGGTACAGGGAAAGGGGTGCTGGGTGAAGGGAAAGGTGCTGGGTACAGGGAAAGGGGTGTTGGGTATGGGGAAAGGGGTGCTGGGTATGGGAAAGGGGTGCTGGGTGCAGGGAAAGGGGTGTTTGGTGAAGGGAAAGGGGTGCTGGGTACAGGGAAAGGGGTGCTGGGTATGGGGAAAGGGGTGTTGGGTGCAGGGAAAGGGGTGCTGGATGCAGGGAAAGGGGTGCTGGGTGCATGGCAAGTGACTCTGGGCACAAGGCAGGCTGGTAGTACCAGTGCCCACCCAGCAAAGCCCAAAATCCAGCACTGCCACGTGCCAGCCAAAGCACCAACCCCGGGCAGAGGCACCTCCCGCTCAGCTGGAGCTGTCTGGGTGCTGAGCAGGATTGCATCAGCCCCTGAAGGCTCTGACAGTCGGGAATGTCTCCAGTGAAGCTGCACAGGGCAGCAGTTCTGTAACTCGGCTCCTGCTCATCAGCCTCACCCCCACTCCCCACCCCAGGCTGGGTGTCACCTCCCAGCAAAGTCTGCACGAGGGAGCAGAGACAAACCACACCTGATTTCAAAGGGACAGGAGCAAATCCTCCACCCCCTTCCCTGGGCAGACTCCAGCAGCTGCCTCTCCCCTCCTCCCTGCACCAGCACACCCAGTCCCTGCTCCCCAAATTCTGCCTTCACACCTGGGGGGTGCTCAGGTACCCACCCCCTCTCAACTCCTCCGTGCTCTGAGTGGCTGCAATGGGCCCTTCCCACGAGATCAGATGTTTCAGCATCGCTGGGAAGAGCTGTGGTCAAACCAGTCTGGCCCAGTCCCCAAAAGGACCCCAACCCAGTCTGTGGCAGGAGACGACGCCCCTGACTTTTTCCCCTCTCTGCAACTTTTCTTTTTCCTCTCCCTGCTCTTCATTTTGCTCTTGAAGAGCCTCAGTAATTTTCCTCAGCCCTGATATTACTGATCCTATCTCCTGCCAGCCCCGGGTGTGTATTTTATTTATTATTTTAGGATGACTGGACAAGCTTATCACAAAGCCCATAAATTACACCCCCACTCCACACAACCAGCTCCCCATCACATCACGAGCTTGTCCGAACCCCAAGTGCCACGGGAGGGGATCCAGAACGTTCTGGAAGCGATTTGGGCTGGAAAGAGTGACCCGGAGCACACGCCAGGATGGCCCAGCACCCCATGTCTCCCAGGTCCCTGCATCCAGCCCTGGAAAAGCCCTTTCTCTGAGATCCCTGAGCAGCAGTGGGGGGACAGGGACACGCTGCCCGTGCCCTGCTGGGTGGCAGGGCCGTGCAGGGCCGACAATCTGGCGCTGTCTGCCAGCGCCAAGCGGGTCGTGGGCACCACCACGGAGACCTTTGTGGGCTCCATCTGTCCCCACAGGCACTGCTGCCGCTCCGGCACCTTGCCCAGCTCAGCCTCCACCCACCCCAAACCCCCCCCCAGAGCAACGAGGTTGGACCCCCAGCACGGGGGTCCCGCTTGGGTGGGACACCAGGACGGCACAGGCACGGCCTGAAATGAAGCCACATCCCAAAATCCGGGGGCAGAGAAGGGACAGCCACCCCAACAAAGTGCCCAGCTCCCTGCCAGCCCCCCCCCCCGGCAGCCGGCCAGGCTGGCAAGGGTTGGATTTGTACAAAGAGAAAGGCAAGAGGAGAGGGGCCAAGGTAGAATTAACATATCGCTGGCTCTTCAAAAGCATCAAAGGGAGATAATGGTCCGAGGGAGGATTTGAAGCGACAGCCTTGTTACAAGCAATAAAGCAGGAGGCTCCTTGCAGCAGGGCTCTGCAGAAGGTAGGGAGAATTACAAAGGCTGAGATTATAATTACAATGAAAGTCATGTCCACGATGCTGCAAAAATGATGGACTAAACAGGACCAGGCCCCCCCCCTTCCAGAGCAGGGACGTGTGTGCACGTGTGTGCACGGGAGCTGGAACACACGTGTGAGAGCAAGGAGGGGGTGGAGATGCTGCCATGAACCCACAGAGGGATGCTTGGAGGGGTGCACACACACACACACACAACCTGCAGGGAGGAAAAGCAGAGCTGGAGGGATGTGATCAAGAACACACCGCAGTTAAGTTTAAAATAAACTAGTCTTTGTGGCTGTCCCAGGAGGAGACAGGAGGTAAATGAAATCCAGGCGGGTCACTGCCCTGACCAAGGTGGATTTCCCTTGGTTAGCAAATATAACACAGATCTGTTAGTGATTAACAAGGCAGGACCAAGTGTCCTTCTAAAATGGGCAGCAGCAGCCCCAGCACGCTGCACTGAAGGGAGGACAGAGGCAGCTTCATCGGCTTTTTAATTAACTCATTTCCAGGAGTTCCAGTTCCTGATCGAGTCCCCCCCTCAGGCGCGACGTCTTGACAAACAAAAATCTCCTTGAAAAATAACTGCGAAGCGAGTTTAATCTGTTTCTCCTTATTAAAGTTTTTTTTTAACGCTTTTCAGCACCAAGAGAAACTGAATTAAAGTGGAAATGGCAAAATGACAAGACGAGAGAGAAAGAGTCGAATGCAAACAGTGACCAGGCAGTGCTGCAGATATTGTCACCTGGGGTCTCACAATTATTGCAAGGATCTCTCAAACCTGAGCAGAAGAGAGGGTAGAGATGGGATGCAGGAGGGCTGGAGCTTGTTCCCATCACACCTGGGCTCCTAAGGAGGCTTGGTGGGGCACCCAAACCAGACCCCTCCACGAGAAGGGCACCAAGGCACCCGTTTTGCTGCTCCCCTTTAAGGCACTGGCATCTTTAGGCAGAGCCTTGGGGTTTGCTCCCCCTGTCCCCAGCCCACAGAGCCTCTGATGGCCACCACAGTGTCACCAGAGATGCCACAGCCAGCTGTCACAGCGACTCAATGGGACCCTTGCCCCAGCTGCACGGCTCAAACTTTCCCTCCAGGACCCTCCACCT